ACGAAGACCTGTCTCCGGCAAGAGGTCATCCCTTTTTATTTATCAACATGCTCGTTTATGTCTCTGAACTAATAAATTAACTTTTGTCTCGTATTGTTTTATTTTTTGAATTGATTTGTTTATAAATTTTTGAGGAATGGGTTTAGTTTTTCCGCCGTCATAAGATTAGTTGAGAGACATTTATTTTGTATTGATGAAGTTTTGTTTAGTTCTATAGTTACCGACCCGTGAAATAGCCGGAAAGTTCTATTTTGGGATGTTTACAGATACTAATGGGAAGAAGAAACAGTATTGCCATTAAATATTTTGAAGTCTATTCTGCGTTTTGCGGCTTCTTCGATTGGGCTTTGGTGTTCACCATTGTATTGATATTCTGCTCGGTTCTTCCAGAAAGTAAAGATATAAAGAAAGAGAATTATTGAATTAAAAGACTATAATTGAGATGAGATTTCTGGTTGTAAAAACTACTAAAATTTTGGACAAATGAAGCGGTACAGAAATGGAGAAACCTGGTAAAAATGCAAGGTTGAAATACATAGTTTCTAATATTCAGAATCAGAACTTAGAATAGAAAAAAGAACTCTAATAATCATTTTTTGTGCACTTCATAGGACATTGACTCTTGATAATAATTTGAGGCGTATACAATTTAGTGCACTCCTGGTACGTAAGATTTGTAGTGTTTTCATTTTGGGGCTTGTTGCTTCTAAATGAAAATATTAGGAATACAAAAATATCAACTTAAAAAAGGAGAAATTATTAAAAAGACAAGTAAACTGGCTCATGTTGGGAAATTCAGAGGGCAAACTGATGCAAGAATTACATAATCCTTAAATAATTTCATAAAAAGCAACCGTAAGGTATTTCATGGGAATGAGTCTTGGGAATGTGTTCTATTTTTATAATTCCTATTATATGGTTTTGATATGAGATAATGTATGCCTTTTATCATGTCCCTAAAACTTATTTTGTTACTTCCTTCTATCTAGCAAAAAACGAAGTGTACAAGCTATGCTCACTACTAAACATAAATTGCAGGTAGAATTTAACAAAAATGGAGAAGCTATAATTATGTTATTTAGTTCATTTTCTTACCATCTTATGTCTTTTTTCTTTGAATTTAATTTGGATAAAATTGCTCTAATTATGTTCCATATTTTTTTGAATAAAAGTGCTCTAATTATGTTCCATATCATCTTACAGCCGCATTGTCTACTTCAATCATCACTGCGACCGCCAATTTCTGAATCCTTTCATTTTGAGACTCATCAATCAGGTTTTATCGCTCTTTACTTGTTATTATGTCTACGAGAAAATTTGAATCTAGATGTGCCAAAAGAAAAAGAAGGAAAAGATTGAAAAGTTGATTAAATCTCAAGAGGGAGCACTTGATAAGTTTTTTGGTAGTAGTAAACGAACACACAACGATGACATAGCTGCTGAAGAAGTGTTAAATGAGAATGACAACAATAATACAATTGAAGAAGGACATTGTGTGATGAATGAAGAGGTATCTACTGACAAAGCTAATGAACTATTTTCTGTTGACCTTGTTGACCGAGCAAATTGGGAAAATATGAATACAAATTTAAGAGATTTAATTGTAATGAAAGGTCCTGTAAGAGAAAATGATCTGACTTTTCCGAAAGATGGAGCAAATCGACACTTCTCATCCACACATTACGTTCGACGATTACCTAATGGAGAGAAATATGATAGAAAATGGTTGATATATTCAAAAAGTTTGGATAAAGTATTTTGCTTTTGTTGTAAGCTATTTAAGAATGATGGGATCAGAACCCAATTGGCACATGATGGAGTAAATGATTGGAAAAATGTTGGTGAAAAACTTAAAATTCATGAAGCAAGTTGTGACCACATCAATAACATGAATAAATGGATAGAAATGAAATTAAGATTTGAAAAGACTAAGACAATTGACAAAAGTGTGCAAGAACAAATCAATAGAGATAGAGAACATTGGAGACGAGTATTATTGAGAATAATATCTGTGGTGAAAACTCTTGCTGAGAATAATTTAGCATTTCGTGGGGACAATGAGAAGATATATCAAGAAAATAATGGTATCTTTTTAAGCATAATTCAAATGATTGCTGAGTTCAACCCCGTAATGCAAGAGCATATTCGTCGAATAAAAAGTAAAGAGATTCATTATCATTATCTAGGACACAAAATTCAGAATGAGTTGATACTTATGCTAGCGGGCGAGATAAAAAAAATAATCATTGAGAAACTCAAAATTTCTAAATACTTTTCTGCTATACTTGATTGCACTCCAGTACAAGTCACGAAGAACAAATGTCAATGATATTGAGGTGTGTAGATATTTCGACAAGTCCAGTGAAGGTTGAAGAATTCTTTTTAGGGTTTTTATTAGTTGATGATACATCATGTAAGGGGCTTTTTGAGGAATTGGTGGATGCTTTGAATAATCTAGAACTTGATATTGATAATGTCAGGGGTCAAGGCTATGATAATGGTGCTAACATGAAAGGACAACATAAAGGAGTTCAAAGTAGACTATTACAACTAAATCCTAGAGCATTCTACATTCCTTATGGATGTCATAGTCTTAATCTTGCACTTTTTGATATGTCCACTTGTTGTTCAAAAGCTAAATCTTTCTTTGGGGTGGTGCAACGTATATATACTCTATTTTCTTCATCTACTAAACGATGGAAAGTTTTCAAAGAGAATGTAACTAGTCTTACCATTAAGCCTTTGTCACAAACTCGTTGGGAAAGCCATATTGAAAGTGTTAGAGCGATAAGATTTCAAGCTCTGCAGATAAAAAAAGCGTTACTTCAATTAGCAAATGTTGATGATCCTAAGACAAAAAGTGAGGCGGAGTGTTTGGCAACATATGAAATTGACAATTTTGAATTCTTACTTGGAATGATTATTTGGTATGAAGTGTTGAATAATGTTAACAGAGTAAGCAAACAATTGCAAGCAGAAGACATGCATATTGATGTTGTTATAGACCATTTAAAAGGCCTCAATTCATTTTTCAAAAGTTATAGAGAATCTGGTTTTGAATCGGCCATGGTTGATGCTAAAGAGATTGCAAGTGAATTAGAAATTGAACCGATATTTCGTGAAAAACGGGTTATACATAGAAAAAAAACAGTTTGATGAGATTTCTTTTGAAGAAATAACACAAACAGCTGAAGAATCTTTTAAGATCAATTATTTCATATATATAGTGGATCAAGCTCTATCATCACTTCAGAATAAATTTGAGCAATTTTAGAAATATGATGATATTTTTGGATTTTTGTTTGATTTGAAAAGACTTAAGTCTATTGATGATGATGTTTTGAAGTGTTCTTGCATTAAACTTGAAAATTACTTGAAGCATAATACGATTTCTGATATTGATGGAATAGAATTATTTTTTGAGTTGAAAGTTTTAAGGGAAGCGATATCTGCAAACATTTTTGGAGCAATTGATGTATTGGATTACATTAAGAAAATGAATTGTTGTTATGCAAATGCCTGGATTGCTTATAGAGTATCATTGACTATTCCTGTCACAGTTGCCTCTGCCGAAAGAAGTTTTTCAAAGTTGAAGTTGATTAAATCTTATATTCGATCATCCATGTCACAAGAGCGATTGAATGTATTAGCTATGATTTCTATTGAAAAAAATATGTTGGACAAACTTGATGTTAGTAGTTTGATTACTAATTTTATATCTCAAAATGTGAGAAGGTTAAATCTTATGCTAGCCTAATCTTACGGGTTGTGAAAGAAGTTTTATTTTGTTATTCTATCTTTCGAATTGTATGAAGTTTTCTTTCTAATATAAAAGTGTTAATTATTCGAATATTTACATATTGTTAGACTTGTAAAATAAATTTTGTGTTGAGGGGCCCCATAATAATTAAACGGCCTAGAGCCTCTAAATTCTCAGGGTCGGCCCTACATCCAGTGCACATCAATCTTCCCAAGCTATCATTTTCCTTTAATTTTTTTAATTTGTTTAAATTAAAACTTAGCACCCCCCCCCCCCTCTCAATAAGAGTAATAAAATGCATTTTAAAATAGTATTTTGATGGAGAGTGCGTGATTAGAAAATAAGGAAAAAATTTTAGTTTATGCGTAATATTATTTTATTAAAAAATATATTGTTGAAAAATAAGAAAAAGAAAAATGTACTTTAAAAATAATGGAACCAAACAAGTACTAAATACAATCTTGTCAAAAGAAAATTCATTTTATGTATTGGGAGCCAATGTTATGAAAATAGAACATTACTCATGGACTCAACTGGGAAAATCGGGACTATTGATAATGAAAAATCGATCGAGACTGAGATATACTACATGTTCAAATTCATTTTATCAGAATGACGCCAAATTCATATTTGACAGAATTTTATTGATAGTTGTGTTAAAAATATTTTTCAACCATTCAATTACAAATTATCAAGTATAAATCTGACACCAATATGACAAAAAGAATATGTACAAGCAGCATGACACGTCGAGACTTCTATTAAGAATCGCAAGTCTGTAAACTAGGCCAATTATCTGTTAAACCTCGAACCGGACGGTCCGGAAACGGGAGCTGACCGGTTTAATTTTGAATTGGGGTTCCTTGGAAAAACAAAGGATAGAAACCGTCCACCCACTCCACGCCACCGTACACGGCCTCTCTCTTCCTCTTCCCCACCGTCCAGCCACCCTTTCCCCTTGCCACTTATTCGCCCACTATTCAGCCTTTGGGGTCACCGGATCTCTCCCCAGAAAACTCGATTTGCTTATTATAATCTTCACTGCATTTACGAAAACTTCTTGTTCAACAAAAGAACAATCTTTACCATGTCTTATGGAGGCCCAGCCGTAGGTTCAACTGCTGCGAGTGGCCCGGCAACAATAAGACAAGTGAAGCTTGAAAAGGAATGCGAATTCAGAGTTGAAGTCAGTCCTGATGCGCCACTCCGCCTCCGTCTCCTCATCGGCTCTGCCGAGATATACGGAACCGAAATACCGCCAGAGATATGGCTAACTTTTCCTCCCAGGCTTAAATTCGCTGTATACACACATATACTCATCATTTTCCTTCGAATTCATATGATTTTGTTTTGTTTAGTGTTGTTAAGGTGAAAGAATCCCAAATTGTAAATATATATATCTTATAAGTCTAAAGTTTTTTTGGTCTCCAAACATGTTATCGAGTCTGCTAAACTTTTTTCGAAAGGTTACTTTTAATTTATACTCAAACATTAACTTGGGTATTTCTAACATTGAACAAGGAAAAAAAAACTATTGTTGTAAAACTTAATTACAAGTGAACTTATTAAGCTTAGCCAAACATATATGACAATCTATGGGTATGCAGGGTTATCGATGTAGAAATTGTTATACACTCAACTGGCAAATGTTTAGATGTGTTTGCTCTAATTCGAAATTGAAATCAGGTTTTTACATGGTACGGTGCCACAATTGAAGTGGATGGTACAACTGAAACTGATTATACAGCAGATGAGGTATGATTTACCCAGTTTGTCTCTCTAGCAGCTCTCTCACACGCACCCCCACCTGCTAATATTCTTGAGTAATTATAAGTATGTTTGCTTTCTTGACCTCTAGACACCCATGATCAGTTATGTGAATGTTCATGCTGTACTGGATGCTCGAAGAAACCGTGCCAAAGCTTCACCCGGCGATTCAGATGCTTCTCAGGTACTGTCAGCTCATCTATAAACATATTAGAAACATAAATGAATGACATGTCAAGCTCATTTTGATTTATTATCAGTATTTCATCTTTTAGGACAGTTCAATTACAAATTTTCTTTTGTCTATTTCAATCCCTGTACTTTTACCTATCTTTTTAATTAACATGGGAGCTCATCCATTAAATGAAACTGTCGAAAACATATTGATCTTAGTTGGATTACAAGTATTTTCTTGAATATTGATAAGTAAAACTTTCAACTAAGCTTATGTTAATATAACTGGGAGAATTAGCTCTTTTTGGTGCCTATTTCAAACATTTATAGATTGGTGGGAATGGTTTACAAAGATATAGAAATGAGTAGTGGATAAATAGGTAGTACTTGTGGGTCCTAGGAAAGGAAATGTGTAGATAAAAGTAGGTTACATTATATAAACAATGCCAAACAAGCAATACCCATCACAAAAATTTTCATACTATGCCGTTACTTGATATTACCCCTTGAGATTAGTTTCCATTATCTGATTGATTGATTGATTGATTGTTTTCTTACTTAAAGATAAGGGGAAATTACATGAGAAAATTAGGGGCACCTGATTCCTCCCCCTCTGTGTGTGTATCACCAGAGTATGTGATATGATCCTTCCCCATTCCATATGCATTCTTTTGTGCTTGAAACACAATTTCCAGATGTGCATTTTCATATTATATTAATATCTCAACAAAATGAGGGCAGTACTCTCAGAAGCAGTGCTCTTAAGTGCCATTTGTTTACTGATGCTGTAAAGAGCCATCTAGCATGATGTTCCGCAGCTTTGCATTCTAATAAAGTTCATATTTTTCTATAATTTGTCTCTTTTATGATCAATTATTCTTATTGCCCAAGTTTTTCTGCTAAGTTCAATACCATGCATACGTTAAAACTGATGCGCACTGGGGTCTGGAAAGCAAGTATTTATTCCAGTCTATTTATCCAGGGTCCTCGGGTTATTGTTGTGGGACCTACGGATTCTGGAAAGAGTACTTTGGCGAGGATGCTTCTTAGTTGGGCAGCTAAACAGGGATGGAAACCTACTTTTGTAGATTTAGACATTGGTCAAGGATCTATAACAATTCCTGGTTGCATTGCTGCAACTCCGATTGAACTGCCCATTGATCCAGTGGAAGGAATACCTCTTGATATGCCTCTAGTTTACTTCCATGGGCACACGACTCCTAGGTAATTGACAAACAATTTTTATTGGTTTTTTATTAAAGATTACCTTTGCTCTTTTATTACATACTTCATTATGCTTGGCAATAGTCACAAAATTGCTGATTTCTATACCTTCTTTTTCGAATTTGGTGTTTTCAGTGTTAATGTTGATCTATACAAGGTACTTGTGAAGGAGCTTGCTCAAATTTTGGAGAGACAGTTTGCCGGAAATGCCGAATCTCGAGCTGCAGGCATGGTTATAAATACCATGGGATGGATAGAAAGCACTGGTTACGAGGTACTCGACTTCTTATTTTTTATCACTGCAAACTTTTTTGATGAATTAAATATGGTGTAAAATCATAAAATATGTTTTTTAATATTTTATCCTCATTTTTGGCAGTTGCTGCTCCATGCAATTGATACATTTAATGCAACTGTCGTTCTTGTTCTGGGCCAGGTATGGTCTTTTTTCTCGGTATGAAATGGAATCCTATATGTTCATCAAATAATATGATGATACCAATGTCATCATATTGGATTTTTTCTTTGTTTGATATGTTGGAATTATTATATATTTTCAGCTTTTACTGTTTAAAACTAACGACACACCTTGGAGGACCCCTAGAATGTTAGATTGTTGTAACTGCGATAAGCCCTTATGTTTCCACCCCCCACCCCTTTAGGGGAAAAAAAATGATGGACCAAGATCATTTATGCTGCTTAGTGTAATGAAGTAGGAACATGATTTATGGTGAATATATTCTCCCCAAGAGAACGCATTTTGATTTTCCCATTTGCTTTATATCTCTGATAACTTTCACTGTTGATATGCAAGTTTCTGCTATTTTTGTTAATTCATAGATTATTTTAATATGGCCTTATAACTAAATTCTCTCTGCGTCATTCAGTAATAAACAGTTCTCCATCCATCCCACGATTCAGTCCCTCGCAGGGAACTCAACATTTAAAGATGTAAAAGCTGCTACTGCTTTCACATCTTTTCTTGACAATTTACAATCCCAACCCTAGCCTGATAGTTTTGAAAAGTGGAAATCCTTCTACTTCTGGTTTGTACAAGCTGATTTCCTTGGAAAACTTTATAGAGGAAATGAAGAAAGTTACAGTTTTTTTGAACTTGACCTTTTAATTAGCCTCCATTTGGCAAAATTTATAAATTATCAAACTTCATTTTCAACCACAGATTCCTATAGACCTACAAATACAGTCTACTTATCCACGAGTCATTTCTATTTATTTATAAATTACCGTTATAAATTCTTCCCAAATGGAGGCTTAACTTTTGAGCTGAAATTAAGAGGATAGTCATGAAACTGTGGAACTCTCCCTCTCTTCCTGCAAATCGGAGGAACCTGGCTTTCTTCCACCTTATATCGCCATTTTAAGGTGATTCACGGTCATCCTTCTAATATCAGTCGAGATTGAAAATCTATTCATCATAAATTATTTGCATCTGGGTACCTCTTTAAGAGTAAAATGTCGATCTTCTTTCCATCTTTATATGCATGGACATTGTGCAGGAAAAGCTTTGCAGCATGCTAAAAGATGTTTTGAAAAACAAGCCTAATGTGGATGTAGTGAAACTTCAAAAGTCTGGTGGTGTTGTGTCGAGAAATGCAAAATTCCGTCAGAAGGCCAGGTCCCATAGAATACGGGTAATGCAAACACTTGTAGATTTCATGGAATCACGACGGTGCATGTTTGGATAAGCTTGCAAATAAGTAAAATCTAACTGTTTGACTCGGACATGTTGATATGATACTTTTTCCACATCAACTTTTTTTTGGAGACAAAAGATGAGTTATTTAAAAGTAACTCTTATGTTAGCATGTTATTGTTATCGTCATAATTAGTAACTTACGTATTCCTATTTTTAATTAATAAAAAGCATTACTTGTATTAAAACTTACTTACATACTTCTAAGTAAAATCAAAGAATAAAATGTTAAGTTAAGCCATACATGCTCTTTTCAGATTTTCATATATTAGTAGCACAAGTTTGTTTCCTTCGGAAATTCGAAATTAAGATTTAATTATAAAATTAAAATCATGTGGCCAAAGTAGTAGCACATGGGGATAAATGGCTATTTATGAGATGGAGAGAAAAAAAAAAACATCTTATAATCCCCACCCAATCATGTCCTTAATTCCATTATTGTAATGCCTTTTCTCAAAAGTACGCGACCTTTAAACATATGTTTTCTTATTCCTTTGACACATAAAGAAATGCCTTTTGTTTGGTTTTCATTGCAGGAATATTTTTATGGCCTTTCGAATGATCTCTCTCCACATTCTAATGTTGCAAATTTCAGTGACTTATGCATTTACCGAATAGGCGGAGGACCACAAGCCCCACGTTCAGCTCTGCCAATTGGTGCAGAGCCGGCTGCAGACCCTACAAGATTGATCCCTGTTAATATTAACCGAGACTTGCTCCATTCAGTCCTAGCTGTCTCATTTGCCAAAGAACCAGATGAAATTATTTCAAGGTATTGTCAGTTTCCCAGTTTCCTTTTTAAATGGGCAAATACGAGCTTGTTTTCTATCAGCTTGGTGACAACAACACATTAGCCTTTTTGTTAAACCACCTTGTCTAAAAGCTCAAGTTGTTAAAGATGGGGCCGATTTATATATCTAGATTAGTCTTCAACATGCCTTCCAATGTGCAAGTTGGATTTATTTTTTCACCAAAGGCCTCACTTGTGCAAAAATTTCATAAATGGTGGCGGTAGAACTTTGAAGACTAAAACTTGAATTCAGTCCATATGTGAGGGGGCATGCTGAAGACTGGATTCAATCATCACAGATGGGTATAGTTTTTTCCCATTTATCCTTCCTCTTATTACTGGGAACTACTTTGAGCTCATATCCAATACTTGTTGCTTAGATAAACCAAAAGGAAATGCTCTCTTAATGCCAACAAATTCAAAACTGCTTTTTTTGTGCGGAAATTAATTATTTGATTATAGGCATTATTTACATAATTTTCCTGCCTATTACAAAATAGAGGAGTCAATGTTTTGTCGAATAATTCTCTGTAACGATTTTCCTTTTTTTTTGCCAGTAATGTTGCCGGGTTCATCTGGATCACTGACATTGACTTTGAAAGGTTCAAATTTTAACACTTCTATTAGTGAAACAATTTTCGTACGTGAGCTGCTAATGTTATTAATCTTTACTCTTATGTGCCATGCTCAGCAAGAAAATCACATACCTTGCACCATCTGCTGGAAGCCTTCCCGGGAAATACCTGATTCAGGGAAGCCTGATATGGTATGAACCTTGATGTACATTGAAGCCATTTGCAAGCTCTTTTAGTTCTTATAATGCATGTGTATACTGGAGCACATTGCTTATCGTGTAATCCTGTTGGCCGTTGTTTAGACAAATTAGGTCTCTTTTAAAGTTTCTGGAAATATTATTGAAGCGGTAGTTTTTGCAATTATGTTATCTGTACAAATTTTTGCCTGTCATTTGTACGAAAATATTTGATCTTTGGTGTTTTTGGTTGTGGTAAAATCTTAATCTTTCGTCCCCTGTAAGTGCAGTATAAAACCTTCATCACTCATTACATTCGAAATAAGATAAAACCCTGTAAGAATGGGTAGAATTTATAATATTTCAGATTTCTTAGTTCGAGTCGTATAATAAAGATAAAATAGGTATATAGGACTAGGTTTCTCACCTCATCAACGAAATTGAGAGAAATTTGAGAATTCTTGTTAGTGTTTTGCGCAAGTAGACCTTAAATGTCTCAATGTCCCTTCGACGTCGACATTCACCCTATAGTAGATCGTCCAAATTATCTTTCTTAAATGTGTTGGGTGGATCTAACGGAAAAATTGAACGAAATGTGACGAAAATGACCATTTGTGCAAGAATATGTTGGCTTTAGATGCAAATGTTGAAAAGAACCAATAACCAGCTTTCGGCTAATCTAGCCTCCTTTAAAATATTCATGTGACTAAGTTTAATTAATTGGGACAAATATTGAGTTTGTCATGATAGAGGATATGTATGCCATCTTTGTACTGAGTTTATTTATTGCCTTATCACAAAACTAGGAGGAGAATGGAACGGGTTTGGGGTAGGCAGCTCATTAGTCCCGTTTAATATTATTACCATATTTGATAAAAGAAATTATAATTTAGATTTTTATCGATATCAAAGTCAATAATTAATTTTCACTATATATTTCAGAGAAAATCTTCAGTAGGGTGGTTACACCACGTGCCGAAGATCTACCTCGGTGGGTGGCCGTCCCTTGGGCGGTCGCACCACCACCATACTGAAGATTTTCTCCATATTTTATAGATTTCACAACTTTTCAATCATACATGTCACTATCTTTTATTAAAATTTGCTAAAAATCCGATTTAAATTTCAATCAAACAAGAGCTATATGTATATGTTGTGTTCCCCCTCCCTCCACCCCCCTTTAAAATTCAAATATTCTTTTTAAATAATACTAAACAGGAAAGAGAGTGAAGGGCCATCCAATACCCATCCCCTCGCCGAACCCAACAAGGCAAGGTTTCTTGCCTCGAACCCACTTTGCCAAGGGTGAGGAATTCCCGTTCATTTGGGTTGGGGCTCCACGAGTCTTGGATCGATCAAATTTTGTTCCATTCCTACTCAAAACTAACATATATTTGAACACAGAAGTGCATATATATCTTTACTCTCTTAAAAGAGAGGTTTTTGTTACTATTCATTTATGTCACAGTCGTTTTCACACTTGAATCCAATTTATCCGATTTTGCTACAGTTGTTTGTCCTTTTTTTTTTCTCCTCCTTTACATTGTTTTCCCACTTTACCCTTGAAAATCTCACCTTACACTAATTAATACATTGAGGGCTTAATGGTCACTTGTACCCACAGTTGTTGACTTTGCACAGACAAGTTTTTTTTTTAATTTTAATTTTAATTTTTTTAATTATACTATTAATATATTTTTTTTGTAAACTTTTTAAGAAATGCGTTTGATGTAACTTTAACTATTTTCGATATTCATTTAGATCAATTCGATGAGTCCATAATGTAGTTCTCAAAACGAGTTCGATAAAATATAGACAATATATTTTTTATAGATGTTGCGTTACAAAAAAATGACGAGTTATACGTATTTTTTAAATTTGACGTCAAACTATAATTGGGAATTTGGAAGGGAAAACGGCGAAATTTGACCTCGAAAACGATGTCCACCAAGCGAAGCTAGGTGGCCATGACGTGCGTGTCGAAAAGAGCTTTCTGAATTGGGGTCATGGGTTCAATTCCGATAACTGTAGCAAAACTTATAGCGAAATTAAAAAAAAAATAATAATAAATTTAGAAAAAAATAAGTCCGTAAGAAAAAAAAATAAGAAAAAAAAGAGTAAAATTAGACACTCCGCGCTGCGCGGAGTGCCTGCCAGTGAGCACTCCGCGCTGTGCGGAGTGCCTGAATTCAAATTTTTAATTTTTTTTTACTTATGTTTTTGTGTTCATTTTCAGGCTCATTACGGAATATCAAATGAAGTCGAAATATTATATTCTTAATATCGTTTTGAAGTATTCGTGACATAGTATTGCACGTCGTTCACGGTGCGTGAAACGGTCAATTATAGCAAATGTTATCGGACGTCAAAGTAGGTATGTTCAAACTATATTTCGAAATTTTCGATAATGAGCTAACTGTAAAAATTTATCGACGACTGTGCGATAATCGAATCGATAAATATTTTACATTTTCTCGAAACTCATTTTGAGAACTATATCGTAGAGATATCGAATGATTTAAATAGATATCAAAAGTAGTTAAACGGATATTAAACGTATGTGTTAAAAAATACGAAATAATTCGTTTCACAGACAAGTTTTTTTTTTAATTTTAATTTTTTTTAATTGTACTATTAATATTTTTTTTTTGTAAACTTTTTAAGAAACGCGTTTGATGTAACTTTAACTATTTTCGATATTCATTTAGATCAATTCGATGAGTCCATAATATAGTTCTCGAAACGAGTTCGATAAAATATAGACAATATATTTTTTATAGATGTTGCGTTACAAAAAAATGACGAGTTATACGTATTTTTTAAATTTGACGTCAAACTATAATTGGGAATTTGGAAGGGAAAACGGCGAAATTTGACCTCGAAAACGATGTCCACCAAGCGAAGCTAGGTGGCCATGACGTGCGTGTCGAAAAGAGCTTTCTGAATTGGGGTCATGGGCTCAATTCCGATAACTGTAGCAAAACTTATAGCGAAATTAAAAAAATAATAATAATAAATTTAGAAAAAAAATAAGTCCGTAAGAAAAAAAAGGGTAAAATTAATTCAAGCACTCCGCGCTGTGCGGAGTGCCTGAATTCAAAATTTAGATATTTTTTTTTTCTTATGTTTTTGTGTTCATTTTCAAGCTCATTACGGAATATCAAATGAAGTCGAAATATTATATTCTTAATATCGTTTTGAAGTACTCGTGACATAGTATTGCACGTCGTTCACGGTGCGTGAAACGGTCAATCATAGCAAATGTTATCGGACGTCAAAGTAGGTATGTTCAAACTATATTTCGAAATTTTCGATAACAAGCTAACTTTAAAAATTTATCGACGATTGTGCGATAGTCGAATCGATAAATATTTTACATTTTCTCGAAACTCATTTTGAGAACTATATCGTAGAGATATCGAATGATTTAAATAGATATCAAAAGTAGTTAAACGAATATTAAACGTATGTGTTAAAAAATACGAATAGTTCGTTTTTCTTAAAAAAAATCAATTATTTTATTACTATTTCGAAATTTTCGATAACAAGTTAACTTTAAAAATTCGTCGACGATTGTACGATAATCGAATCGATAAATGTTTTACATTCTCTCGAAACTCATTTTGAGAACTATATCATAGAGATATCGAATGATCTAAATAAATATCGAAAATAGTTAAACGGAGATTAAACGTATGTGTTAAAAATGCATTTTTTTAAAAAAAATTATTTCTTTATTCCTTTTTAATTCTTTTTTGTTTGACGTCAAATTTTTTTTTTTTTTTTTTTGGTTTTAACGTAAAACTTTTTAATAATCATTCTTTTATGCAAAAAATTGTATTAGGTTATTTTAAAAATTAATTTATCAAGAAGAAAAAATAACAATAAGAAAAAAATTCCTAAAAATTATCGAATTTTTTTTATATATAAATTTTTTTTAGATGTTAAAATAATTAAGATGAAAAATTTGTTGGCTCAATTTCTTGTTGCTATAATTCAAATGTATTTTTTCAAACATTATTATTTTAGTCTAAGTGATTATTTTACATATTAATGATGTATTTGATAATATTATATTCAATATAAGTAAGTCGTTTAATTAATCGAATCATTTTTTTTATTGTTGAATATCTAATTGATATAATTAAATCGTTTAATTAATCGAATCAATTTTTTATTGTTTGCAGTCTTCCTTTGTTTCCTTATTTAATATGCTAATATCTCCTTTTATAAAATTCAAGTCATGCATTGCATGGCACAAGACTAGTATATATATATATATGTATATCAACCTCTCACATACAAGTTGTACTCATAAATTCACCCATATGTGGATGCACACATTCATACTTGATAGAATCATGCTAGTCAAACAGGGACAAGTGATAAGGTTTAGGGTAGGAATTGCAGGTCACAGTTGGTTACTGCTTCTTATTTTTTTCAAACTATTCAATCGATATTTGACAATTGTCCCCCTGTTTAAAGACTCTATTCTCTAATCCTATTTGTGTAGTATATTTCTATTGAATAACAATAAAATATGAATTCAGAAGTTTTTAGTAATAAAAAAATTAAAAAAAATTATTTACTTACCTTATAGTAAAATAAATTTTAATTATCAGAGCAGTCACATGGTGTTATTGGTTGGCCTATCTGTTTTGTCTGAAAATAGATTACATCGTGATGTATGAAAAAGTGTGTCGTGGCATGTCTATATTTGTAGTTTCAATATGCAAGTTGCACTTATCAAAGGAAAATCTTAAATATACTGTTTCCCATCATTTAAAAATTTGACTTGTTTAGACTAAACAAAAAAAAAGGGTTAATTTAACAAACGGTCACTGAACTATAGAGAAAATTACAAAATGATCATTGAAGTTTAAAACTTTCAGTAACGGTCACTTAAGTTTTGGAGCGCTTTCAAAAATGGTCATTGAAGTTTAAAAACTTGCCAAAACGATCACTGAAGTCTAAAAACTTTCAGAAATGATCACTAAAGTTTAAAAACTTTTAGAAATGCTCACTTAATTTTTTTTTCCAATTTTCTGGACTACTTTTGCGACAACTTTTCTATCATTTTCGACCACTGATACCACCAAATTTTGATACCGTTGAAAAGCCCACAATGTCCTCTTCCATTTTGGGTGATTTTTGCGGCAATTTTCCTGTGAATTCCGACCACCAAACCGACTAATTTTGGGTGGTAATTGAAGAGGAGATTGTAGGCTTTCCAACGGTATCAAAATATGGCAAAATTGATGGTCGGAAATTGCCAGAAAGTTGCCGTAAAAGTCGCCCAAAAAACTGGAAAATTTGCCATGATTTTCGCCTTTTCGGGTAGCCAACTTTGTGGGTTTATTCCGGCCGACTCCTTTGGAGTTTAGGGGATATTTTTCATGGTAATTGAAGAGAAAATTGTAGGCTTTCCAAAGGTATCAAAATCTGATGGTATTGGTGGCCGGAAGTTGCTGGAAAGTTGCCTCAAAGTAGCTCATAAAATTTGAAAAATCTGCCAGGATTTTCGCCTTTTCGGGTAGCCAATTTTGTGAGTTTATTCCGGCCAAATTCTTTGGATTTTGGGAGAGATTTTTGATGATAATTGAAGATGACATTGTAAGCTTTCCAACGGTATCAAAATCCAGTGGCATTGGTGGTCGGAAGTTGTCGAAAAATTGCCTCAAATGTAGCCTAAAAAATCAGCCCACATTTTCGCCTTTTTAGATAGCCAAATTTGTGGGTTTATTCCGGCCAAATCTTTTGGAGTTTGGGGGATATTTTGGATGGTAATTTAAGAGGACATTGTGTGCTTTCCAACGATATCAAAATCCGGCAATTTTGGTAGTCAGAAGTCATCGAAAAATCATCGCAAAATTGGCCCAAGAAATTTGGACAGATTTTCCTATTTTTTGGGTGAATTTTGCAACGATTTTCTGGTCAAATCCCTTGGAATTATGGGGAGATTTTGGATGGTAATGGAATAAGAGATTGTGGTCTTTCCAACGAAATTTGATGATATCGGTGATCGGAAGTAGCCGAAAAATTGCCGCAAAAGTAGTCCAAAAAACTTAAATTTCGGTGACCATTTCTGAAAGTTTTTAAACTTCAGTGACCATTTTTAAAAGCGCTTGGAAACTTAAGTGACCGTTACTGAAAGTTTTAAATTTCATTGATCGTTTTGTAATTTTTGCCTAAGTTCAGTGACCATTTGTGAAATTAACCCAACAAAAAAATATTCTTTATTTATGTTTTTTTATGGAAGATAAAAAAATATATAAATGTTTCACTATTTGAATTTTACAAAATAATAATAATAATAATAATAATAATAATAATAATAATAATAATAATAATAATAATAATAGACAATAAACAAGAGACTGTATAATGATAGATATACAAATCACACGTATAAAAAATATTGACTCAAATTTGATAGAGATTTACAAAGAGTAAAGTCCTAAATGTCATAATTCACCTCTTCGCAGTGTTTGAAGTTCTTTAGGTGTGTGTCATTCTCACACGATAAAGATACTCGTCAGAATTCCAATACTAGAATTTTAACTCAACTTGAACCTTTTGTTTTTCACTCTTCTGTAAATGTGAATAATTAATAATTTATATGAAACGTGAAATACTCTATTAATATATTTGTATAAATACGTTATTATTTAAAGAGGTTGTTCTATAAAGCAAGAAAAAGTATTGACAAATTCCTCGCTCGTAATTATTATTTTTATAAAATTGTGGAATTATCATATCTATCTATTATTAAATATTATTAGCAAGTAAAGAAACACATTGAAGGACTTATTTATCTGAATCTTATCTTCAATATATACATCTCCTCCTCGTATAAAAGAATTATTTCGACCTTTCCGTTTTAATTTATTAAAATTAAAAATAATAGATGATAAAGTAAAATTAGCCTGTGTTTGTAAATTGTTTAAATTATAAATAAATAATTTTTTATTTACATGTTATGTACGACCAGCTTATCCATTATGGATAAGAAGTCGTTTTGAAAAATAACTTGTGTTCCAGGTAAGCTTTATTTCTCTCTATAAATATGAGAGCCTAACTTGTAAGTTTTCCTTATTCATCCAATCCATTCCTTTGTAAAGCAAAAGTAAAGATGAAGAGATCTGTGTATTGGATATTTCTGCTGCACATAATTTTGTTCGTCCATGGAAATAAAGCTGGAGCTTCTCAGCCTTATAGGACTGCATACCATTTTCAACCTCCCAAAAACTGGATGAATGGTATATTTTGTTGGGTAATTTGTTTTTTCTTTTCGCCAATTATATGCATTTAGATTTCTGGTACTGATTAATTTTCTTGTTTCTTCAATGTGGCCGAAACTATTGATTGCACATCGATGAACTTGAAGACCCAAATGGTAAAGTGTCCCTCTCTACCTTCTCATAGGTTTTATTATATGTATTATTCATCAATACAGAATGAATTTTCATAAAACCTTACGTTGAAATTAATCAGATGAAAAATATTTGTCCATATTACTGTTATGATTTTTATTGAGACACGTTTATGTCGCACAGGGCCGATGTATCGTAAGGGAGTTTACCATCTGTTCTATCAGTACAATCCCTATGCTGCAGTATGGGGAAATATTTCATGGGCACATTCTGTATCATATAATCTTGTTGATTGGATGCATCTTGATAATGCTATTAATCCAACTGAGCCTTATGATATTAATGGCTGTTTTTCTGGTTCTGCGACAATTCTTCCGGGGGTCGGAAAACCTGTCATTCTATACACTGGAAATAACTTTGAAAACCACCAGGTTCAAAATCTGGCAGTGCCTAAAAATATGTCTGATCCACTGCTTAGAGAATGGGTAAAATTGGATCGTAATCCAGTGATGGCTCCGGTTAATGGCATAAATCCGATGATAACTCCAGATAATGGCGCAAATCCGATGATGACTTCAGTTAATGACATAAAGCCGGATATGTTTAGAGATCCTACGACTGCGTGGCAGGGATCAGATAAAATATGGCGAGTAATTATAGGCAGCCAAATTAATGGCCATGGAGCTGCAATTCTTTATAAAAGTAAAGATTTTGTTAGCTGGACTAGGAGTCGAAATCCTCTTCATTCGTCAGTCAAAACAGGAATGTGGGAGTGTCCTGATTTTTATCCGGTTAGTACTCGTCCTAGAATTGGGCTCCACTCATCTTTCAACGGTCGAAAAACTAAACATGTCCTAAAGGCGAGTTTTAGTGATCATGACTACTATATAATAGGAAATTATGATTCGAAAACGGATAGATATAATGTTGATGTTGATTTCATGGATAGTATTAGGCAGCTTAGATATGATTATGGTATGTTCTACGCTTCCAAAACATTTTATGACAGTGACAAAAAGAGAAGGATATTGTGGGGATGGGTAACCGAGGCTGATAGTAAGTCAGATGATATCGAGAAAGGATGGTCTGGAATTCAGGTAATCTATGTCTAATCTTTTCTCTTCTTTTTTGGTGATTTAATTGCTTCTTGATTTTTTTCGAAATCTCAACATGTTATAATTCATGGCCACCCATTTATGAATANCTTCTTTTTTGGTGATTTAATTGCTTCTTGATTTTTTTCGAAATCTCAACATGTTATAATTCATGGCCACCCATTTATGAATATTTCACAAGGCAAAAGTTTGATAAAAATATGAATCTAGACTGCACTTCCTGATACTTGGATTTTTGGCAGTCAATTCCAAGAACCGTATTGCTAGACAAAAAAGGGAAGCAGTTGGTGCAATGGCCAATCAGAGAACTCGAAAAACTACGGGCAAGAGAAGTCTCTCTACATAATAAAGAAATAAAGGGTGGAACTGTGCTTAAAATTTCAGGAGTCACAGCTTCACAGGTATATGCTCAAATCATCTTCTTAAATATTCCTATCGACTGTTTGAAAGCCTCAAATGATCGACTTGTAATCCTATAGGAAAAGGTCTTTTCAGTTTATACTAGAATCATAATTTTAAGAATTGGATTTGATTCCTTCCAGGCTGATATAGAAGTCTCATTCCAATTGCCAAATTTAGAAGGACGTGTCGAGTTGATGGATACAAAATCAGTTGATCCCCAACAACTTTGTAGTGAAAATAATTCATCAGTAAAAGGGGTACTCGGGCCATTTGGTTTGTTAGCCTTGGCTTCGAAGGACTTAACAGAACAAACTGCCATCTTCTTTCGGATATTCAAAGGTCATGACAAGTATGTTGTCCTAATGTGCAGTGATCAAAGCAGGTGAGCTTACATATCTAGACAATAAATTTAAATAAATAAGCGTGTTCACGAGTGATGTGTTTGAATCCAAGCTTTTTCTCTCTAACTCTCTAATATTTGAATGCAGGTCTTCTCTGAAAGGAGAAGTTGACAAAAAAATCTTTGGGGCATTTCTTGATGTTGATCCTACTCAGAAAATCTCATTAAGAACTTTGGTAAGTTACTTGTAATGTCTTTTCTCTGGACAGAAACTATTGAAAATAACTCTTTTGCTACAAATATTAAAGATTGGAGAGCTAAATGTCTGTAAAAAAAATGTTTTGGTGCTCCAAATGTTAATGACCCCAAAATCAGAGATCATGTCTGCAAAATTTCCTGTGAAAACCATTATTTTTGGTAATGGAAAATTTGATACATTTATGCTTTATGCTTATGCAGATTGACCATTCCATGGTAGAGAGTTTTGGTGGTGAAGGAAAGGCTTGTATCACTGCTAGAGTTTATCCTGAATTAGCCATTGATAACAAATCCCACCTCTATGCATTTAATTATGGGACAGAAAGTGTTAGAATCTCGAGTTTGAGAGCTTGGAGCATGAAGAAAGCTCGAATGGTCGAATTTCGTGAAGAAAGAAATCCCCTCATAAATTGAGTGCAATTTCTAAGCTCGACTTCGAGAGTATGTGATCCAGAATGATGATACGGATAAATATAGAATTTAAAAATAGAGTTTAATTTACATTGTATTTAATTTGTTTTGATTAACTAGGATTTTTTTTTTTTTTTTTTTTTTA